CCAGAGAGAGATAGAACCATCGTGTGTGAGGAGAATGCAAGGAAGAAAGTCAGAGACAGAGAGGTAATAGACAAGGAGAGCGCCCAAATGAGCCATAGGATCAATAGAGAAGAAACAGGGGAGGCCTGTACTCCACATGCCAGTGAGGCAGTAAGACAGGCAGGAGTAGAAGGAGGAGCGAGAGGGAAAGAAGAGGAAAGGACTGGGGGGGCAGGAGGGAGACTTACGTGAAGGCGAAGGCACTAGAGCACGCACAACCACTAATAAAGTCAAGGCATTTCGCAACAAAGTCCGGAAATAAGAGCCCTGTGCAAGACCTAAACTCCCAGATCCACCATCTGCAAGAGAAAATCGAGAAGGCATGATTCGATGAGAGTGAGAGCCCCTGGGCACTTGCCCCCGTGGTGCGCAATAAAAAAAAGTGTCCTAATCATGCATCTGTGACCTGGGGTTCTCAATTGGCTTAGTTGATTTCGGGACATTGCCTTAACATTGATCAGCGATCTCAATGCTGAACACCACCCTGTGAAGACATACGTCAAGATCGCGAAGAGCTGTAGAAGAGAACAGAGGGAATGATTTGCTGCTGGCATCCAGCTTAGTGGAAAGAGTGAACAACGGATGGATTGCACAATGATTGCAATTCCAGATGTAAAACAATAACTTTAACATTAGGGTATGATGTTAATTTTTTTAATTTTTTTTATTTGATATATTCTACAGTAAACGCAGTGTATACATAATCCTGCTGTAGTATATGAATTATTGTTGTTATAGGCTATCGAATAATAAATATTCTAATCCATATCATCGTTGAGCCATGTGGGCAAAAGCCTGTTACTTCCAAATGATAATGTCACTGTTTTTCATTATACCTGTATAAACAAATAATAAAAAATGAATCTATGGAGGTTTGCCTCACTCACTCCTCTCAATAGTATAAAATAATTCCTTTCCAAATGTTATCTACTGGACTAAAATCGGTTGTGGACTGCCTTCTCAATTTAACATGTTTTATGGTTATACTTTATATGAATTTTATTTTTATTTCTATCTGGTCCAGGTAGAGGGCTTGGTGTGAAAACAGGTAATGTGGATAACATGTACATAATATTTCACGCAACAAAAGCATTGTTAATCAATGTACGTCAAACGTTCCATCTTACATTGTTGCAGGGATTCGGGCCACCAGGGTCTTCAGCAGCCAGGGCAATACTGCTCATGCAATAGCCAGCAGGATACACATCCTAAAATTAACCGCAGGGTGCAATTTAGTGACAATGCCGTCGAAACCTAGGAGCAGACAAAGACATTTTTTTTTCCTCTTGTGTTTGCTCTAAGCGGAAACAATTAGATCTTCTTTCTAAGTATTATAGTATACTGGCTAAGTTACTGCTTAAGTGTTCTCTGCCTCTGTATCAAGTGTAAATCGCAGGTGTGTACATGCTCAGTGTGGTAGCTGTAACTTTATAGTCGGATCAAAATTTTCCATCAAGGATTTTAGCTGCTGAGTCTATAGATAAATAGACTAATCGTTGGGTTGGGTGGTGAAATGGTGTCCCAATATCACTATTCCTGGGTGTGTCAGCCAATGGATGAGTCAAGATAGTGTAGGCTGAGTGTGTCTGGTATCATTACGCGGGTTGGTGGTGGGAAACAGGATGAACATGGCGCTGAAGGGAGGGATAGGCCTGGGTCCTCCTCGCCTACCTTCTACTCAATATGCGTCGTCCTTGTCCTCCTTTCGCGTGGCAAAGGCTCTGTGTTGGCAATTTTTATTGACTGGATCAGAGAGGGAGAGAAGAACGGAGGGAGGATTGGCGTGAAATGGATCAGTCTGAAAGAAAGAAAGATGAAACAAAAAAAAAATGACACATTACACTTTGGCCCTTACCCTGCAGTATGGCAATTGGTGGTGGAAAAATTGGCTATGTTCTTTGCTGTGTAGCAGGCGTGAGGCAGCCTGATGACGCTGTTGGCAGCGGTGATCTTGTCGATGTTCCCATAGCTTATCTATGTGACCTAAACTCCCCATGAGTGCCATTGTTAGCAAGATGGAGGGCAGATCAAAGCCAGGGGCAACGGTTGCGGCTTCGGCGATTGGGTTAGGGTGACTTCCCAGTGGGGTAGAGCAGACACCAGTTTGGTATTCAATGCAGGTTGTCCATTCTCTGCTGGTACTGGCTGTCCTGCTAGAGACGGCTCTTTTGGAAATGGGCCGTGTGGGTAGAGAGGCTTAGGGACCTGCAATCCCTAGAAAGAAAAAAAAAACAAAAAGATGATAGATAGAAAAAGGGAGGAGAGAAAAGAGGGAAAGATGACAATCCATGAGAGATGAGAGATGGAGTTTTTGTGACACACAGATAAAAATATCAGTACAAAGGAAAGGGGAGAGAATCAATCATCAGACAGAAACATGAGTTAAGTGAATATCAAAAAATGGTCTTTTGTTGCAACTGAAAATTGTGCATCCTGAATCTATAGCGCACATGCATTGGACATCCTTCCTCCTGTGCTGGCACATCCTCTGTCCTCGCCGTCCGTTTGGTTGCCATGGCGACTTCTTCTTGCCTCCTTCTCACTGCCCATCACCCAGCTTCCGTCCTGTTCTCCTCCTTCTCCACATCCAATACCACCCCTTTTGCTCTTGTGTCTCCCCCGTTTTTTCCGCTCCTCCCCGCCATCCTCGCCAATCCTCGTGCGTTCTTTTCGGATTGGGACCGTGGGCTTCCTCGTGTTCGCGACTGCCCTCACTCGACTAGCGCTCGCGGGTGTGGTGGTGGCGCCTGGACGGCTCTCCTCGCCGAGGCCTGTTGCAGATCACTGTGGCATCAATTCTGACGTGAGAACTGTGTGGCGGTGCTTCACCTTTACGGCTCCGCTTGCTCTCACTGTGGACTCCCCCCGATCCAGGGGGAGGCCTGACCTGGAAACCCTGAGCCCATCCACCGCCATCTCCACCTACTTGCCCACCGTGTTCGTGAGGCGTGTTTGCCGTGTGGAGCTCGTCAGCAGGATGGTGCTGGCTGAAAGCAGAGGTCTGAATTGTTGGCTGGTGGTCTTGTGTGGTGTTGTTGTTGCGGTTCTCGTGGGGGTCAACCACCCACAGGGTGTCGACTTCCAGGTGGGTCTTCATGTCTGGACGGATGTAACGCTGAGTAGTTCACTGCCAAGGAGAAGGCGAGGACAGCAGAAACAGCCATAGGGGAAAGATTGAAGTTACAGTATAAAGGTATAATTTACAAACATTGTAACTGCAGATTAAGTCACATTGTGCATCGTCTAGTGTATATATGGAGGGTAAGGACTGATGGCCAATCTCTATTAATAAATAATAAACTTAATACATAAATATACACAGGCTAAGCAACATGTAACATAATTTATAATCATGATCATCATCAACATGATTGCCATCACTTTGTGTATACTGATAGCAGGCATAGTCTAGGGGCCTTTGTTTGCCTTGTCCTTTACATTGTTGTGCTCCTCCCTCCTGTCCTTGCTTCCAGCGGTCGCAGGTCCAGTCGTTATTACAAGGGCCTCGCGGCTGCGATGACCAGAAAGTCTGGCTTCTCAGCTCCTTGGTGCGTTGCTTCGCTGCCCCACATGATATTGGACTCCGTGTATTGTGGTTCTCTGCTGCTCCTTACTGAAAATGAAAATATGGGTGAGAGGGAGGAGGGGGAATTGGCAGCATTAAAGACTGTTCGGAGACTATACGCCCGTTGCGCAATTAATAAACACAGCATAGGCATGAGAATGATGTGAAAACCACACGCAAAATATCAAGTTACAAATAAAAATAGCGCCAGGACATAAGACACTGACTGGAGGGGCGCCACAGACTCACTTAGTAAAAGGAGTCCTTTGGCTGGACCTCTAAGAACAAGGCACTCAAACAGAACAAGGTTCTGGGTGTCTACACAGTTGCGCAACGCACAGGGCTGGACAGCCCTATTTTGGTAAAACCATGTGGGGACACAAAATGGAGATTAACGCTGAAGGCAAGGTCAGAATTTGTGTTTTGCACATTATCTATATTTGGGACCTACCCAAAGTAAAGTATTTACAATTACAGGGTTCATGCAGACAAAAAGCAAACGGGGGCGACCTTTCAGAGTACTGAGCAGTCGCTTTTAACCTACTTTATACCGAAACGCCCAAAAGGTGTCAGTGACACACCTGCTTTCTACCCTCCAGCACGTCCAATGAGTAATCTACACTATTTAACTCGCCATTGTCTCTCTGGGCCAACAGTCAACACTACGATAAAGCAACAAGGCCGTTACTGCGAGGTGCAGGCAACGAGAAAATGTAACTCTTGAAATATAGCCACACAAACACACATGCTAAAGAAAGCCAACTATGTAGTTCATAAAAAAGTTGAGAACAGAAGGACATGGAAAGGAGGGTGTTCTAAAACACAAAAATAAGCAAGGAAATGGTGTAAAGTCCAATAAACAGAAGGGATCTCAGAAATGAATAAACAAATAATAAATACAGCCAGAGGGTATGGTAGCGGTTGTGACAGGCCTCACTGTGTACTTTGTTTGCTGAACGAGGGAACAGCTGGTGAGTGAGATGGCACGAAGTAACAGACGGAGGATTTCATTCCAAAGATGGGCTATCCATCCAACCATTTTTTAAAAAAACGGTCGTGTCCCGCTATTGCAAATAAAATGTGCCGAAGAAACTGAACACTAAAGTAATGTAAATACATTCCCGAAATGCAAAGCGGAAAAAAAAAAAAAAAAAAAAAATCCTCTGATAAATGGTAAATCTGTTCTTGCAGAAAGATTTAGCATTTTGGAATGCAAACCCTTTACACACACACACTGTAAGTATCACACACACATCACCACACACGCATCTTACACAAAACGCACGGCACTGGATGTGTAGTTG